ACAGAGAAAACTGGAATTTCTTTGTCATTGAAATGACAAACAAATATGAAGTTTCAGCTGCTGCAAACAGACACAATATCTGATTAAATTCAAACAATATCTATTTTTCTGTGCAGCTGTCAGCAAGGGCTAACCACACCAGGAGGAGGGTTGGGGCTGCCTTGGGTAACTGCTGAGCAAGGCTCAGGCTGAGACAGGAGTGAAGTCACTGACAGCACTTTGCCTTTTAGCATTGCTATGGAAAAAGGGACCTGGAACCATTCCTGGTCACCAGCCCAGACAAGCAGCCCAGAGGTACATCAGCTCAGCTTCTCCTGGGCTACAGGAAGACAGAGGGAACAGGGATGGAGTAACAGCAGCCACCAGGCACAAACTGCTCTCCACAGCAGCAGGGAGAGGCTGAAGGTGCTGGAAAGACTGAAAAAGAAACAAGCTCAGGGCCACCCCAAAGCCCCCAAATCTCCCCACACTCCTCTCACATCTTCTCCCACTCACTCTTCCCAACAGCTCTGTCCTTGCCAAGCCTGTGGAGCTGATGTTGTTCCTGATCAGCAAGTCAAAGTGTTTCTTGAATTGTGTTGATCTGAGCATTGAAAAAGCAGCTGATAAGATCATGTTTGGTACTCACCTGACTGGGGAGTGGAGTAACAGAGTCCCACACTGGTTTGAGTTGGAAGGACCTTAAAACTCATCCCATCCCACCACCTGCCATGATCGGGGCCAGCTACCACCAGCACACTCCAAGCCCTGTCCAACCTGGCGTGGAACACTCCCAGGGATGGAGCAGCCACAGCTGCTCTGGGCAACCTGTGCCAGTGCCTCAGCACCTCACAGGGAGGAATTCCTTCCTAATATCCCATCTGTCCCTGCCCTCTGGCAGTGAGAAGCCATTCCCTGTGTCCTGTCCTGGCATTCCTTGTCCCAGGTCCCTCTCAGCTCCCTTGGAGCCCCTTTAGGCACTGGAAGGGGCCCTAAGGTCTCCCTGGAGTTTCTCTTCCCCAGGCTGGATACCCCCAGCTCTACCAGCCTGGCTATATAATGGAAATTGCCATTTTCTAATCTAAACCTCTTCTCTGTCAGTGTGAAGCTATTCCCTGTGTCCTGTCCTTGCATTCCTTGTCCCAGGTCCCTCTCAGCTCCCTTGGAGCCCCTTTAGGCACTGGAAGGGGCCCTAAGGTCTCCCTGGAGTTTCTCTTCCCCAGGCTGGATACCCCCAGCTCTACCAGCCTGGCTATATAATGGAAATTGCCATTTTCTAATCTAAACCTCTTCTCTGTCAGTGTGAAGCTATTCCCTGTGTCCTGTCCTTCCAGGCCCTTACAAAGAATCTCTCTCCACCTTTCTTGTAGCTCCTCCAGGTACTGAGAGGCCACAGTTAGGTCTCTCCTGAGCCTTCTCCTCTCCAGGCTAAACTCTCTCAGCCCCAAGTCTCTCAGCCTTCCCTCTCAGTAGAGCTGCTCCAGCCCTCTAACCACCTTGGTGCCTCCTCTGGACTGGCTCCAAATGGAGTTTAGTCCAACTTTTGCAGCAGTTCTGAAGGCTCCAGGGAGAGATTTATACCAGCACTGAGCCCAGCAGCATCCAGAGCAGCTTTCCTGAGCCTCACGGGGAGGAATTTCTTCCTCACATCTCATCTAAATCTCTCCTCTTTCACTTTGAATCCCTTGCCCTTGCCCTAGCACTATCTGCTCATGTAAAAAGCTGCTCTTTTTCTTTTTTATAATCCTCTTGAAGTCCTGGCAAGCTGACAGGATCTTTAACCCTCCCTTTGATGCCCAGAGGGTGGACAGACAGAATGCAGGTCCCCATGGGGATGACAATGAAGACACCATTTATGGAAGGGCAGATGCTGAATAAAAGACCTGATTTATCTCTTTGAACTCCCTCTGCCTCTCCTACATCATCTGCTTAAAGGTGGGACCACAGGTAGAGACACTGGGGCATCCTTAGCTGGGAGCAGGGCCACATCCAGCCATGCTCAGCTCCCACATCAGCACATCAGCACAACCTCCAGGGTATTTTTAAACCCTTCTTCCTGCTCCAGATTTGTCCAACACTCACTCTAAGCCTCCAACAGTAAACAAAACAGTGCCAAGAACTGTTTCCCTGAACTGGAAAGTGCTCATTTATTCTGCTAAATTGTTAGCATAGTTCCCAGCAGAGCTTTGGCCAAATCACCCTGGGACAAACAACTCCCAGGCAGGGCCTGGGAGATCAGCTCAGCTGCTGAGCTGTGATTCAACTCCTGCTCTGCAGCTGCCCTGAGTGGCAGATAAGCTCCATGGCATGGCATGTGTCACCCTGTGCCAGCTGGTCATGGTGCCAGCACAGCCCTGGGTGTGTGTGCCCTGGGAGTCTGCACATTGCTCCATGCAGAACAACCTCAGCTCCTGCCACAACCTCTGCCTCTGCACATTGCTCCAGTGTAGGAAGAGCCTCAGGTCCTTTCATAGTTTCATAGTATGTTAAGGCATTGGAATGGACCTCAGAGGTCATCCAGTCCCGACCCCCTGCCCTGGGCAGGGACACCTCCCACCAGAGCAGGTTGCTCATGGCTTTAGCCAACCTAGAATGAATATTGCCAGAGCTGTGGCATCTACAATCTCCCTGGGGCATCCACAACCTCCTTGGAGCATCCACAGCCTCCCTGGGCAACCTGTGCCAGTGCCCCAGCACACTCACATGGAGGAATTCCTTCCCAATATCCCATCTGTCCCTGTCCTCTGGCAGTGGGAAGCTGTTCCCTGTGTCCTGTCCCTCCATCCCTTGTCCCAAGTCCCTCTGCAGCTCTCCTGG